CAGGGGCACGGCTACCTTTCGATACACGCCAAAGTCGACTCCGAAGGTGCTGCAACTATAGGAACATTTCAACAAGAGATACGACGCAATCTATTTCTAGCTAATGACAGACGAGATCGGTATTTGTGAGTTCCTGTTCAACCAAAAATGCCCATGGTCGTCGTCGGCTCTCAAGCTAACCGCCTAACAACAACTACTTCTCAATTGTGGAAGTCATCCTTGCATGAATACTCTAAGAAACCGTTGATACAACCCAGCTGGCTACAGCGCGTAAGCTTCTTGGCTATACCCTGGCATTCATCGCAATCTTTATAGGGATCACTCCTCTTGACTCCGTAATTGCAGTTTGAGCCGGGACAATTTCTTAGCAGTGGGCAGCAGGCAGTAGCCCTTGTAGAGGCCACGGTATTAACCGCAAGTCGTCCTTCTAATTCTGTTGTACCTTAACTGTCTACAATCTGGGCATGTTTCGGACGTCATTAGATCGAGAATGCTAGTAGAAGATTGGTTCGTAGTCGTTGAAGCTAGGAGGGGAATGCTTACTTATGGAATTCGGAGTTTATGTGTTTGGTAAACGATGTTAGATAGTGTTAAGTATATAAAAATTTTTAATCCGTTGAATCGTCCTTAGTCCTGAGGGTATTTCTATTATAGTCTCCTTTACGTCTATATATATACACAAGCTCTATTATAAAACCCGTCATAGCGTGATATTAATATTAAGTCGCTCGCTTATAAATAAGATAAGAATCACAATCATTATAAACAATTATAACTAGTAGGCTATAGTTAGTTATTAACTTATTATATAACTTATTATATTATTGCCTTATAGGTAATAATATCTCTATTATATATTTAATTTAATTTAACTCTGCTCCTTTAGATAAGAAATTAAGAGTCTTTTTATTACCTAATTTATAGGGGATTTTTTGCCTAATTATTATATAATTATATATAATAGTCGCGTTATGCGATAATTATAAGCCCGGTTTGTAAGCTAGTTTCTATCTATTAAAGCTTTTACTATATTAAATGCCGCTAATTATAATAGCTATTAATAACCTCGAAGTTTCTTCCTAGGTTATCCTTAAGGGATCTAGTAACTAAGACCTATAGATTAATATAATCTATAAGTTTATAAAGACCTAGGATATCTAAAAATATATTAACCCTAGTATAGCTAATAAGATAGCTCTAGCTCTACTAGTTAAACTAACTATAAGTAAAGTTAAGATAAGTATAATTAACTTAAACGAGCTAATTAGGGATAACCTATATAAGTATAAGATTCTCTAAGCCTATTATTATAACTAACTCTAAGTCTATAAAGATAAGAAAAAAGCACTTATTATATTATAAAAACATATTATTAAGACTATTAGCAGCTATTATATTATTATTACCATAGAAGATAATATTACTAAGGAACTTATAATCTTAAAAAACCGCATTAAACTAATTAATTAGGCTTATAAGATAGAAATCATAAACTAGTACTATGCTATACTCAAGGCAGCTAATTAAACCAAGATTAAGGTATAGGTCTTAAAGTAATAAGTTATACTAAACAAAGCTAAAAACCTTAATTTACCTAATATAAAAGGCCTATAACTAACTTAACACTTTCTTAAAGCTATTAGCGCAATTAACCCTACTTTCTTAAAAATATTAAATTAATTAAATAAAGGGGGAAGCAATAACTAGCTTAAATAATAACTAATAAAAAGACTTTCCTTAATAAAAATTAAGATTAATAAAAATATTTAAATAGTTATTTTTAAACTACCTCTAATAGCTCTAATACTAAAGGTATATTTACTACCTTCTAAGGTAAAAAAGAACCTAATATATCTAGTATAGCCATAATATCTAAACCTAATAGTAAAAACCTAAGAGGGAAACTAATTTACCTCTATAATTATAAGCACTTCTACTTAGAATACTATTACCTTTCTAACTTAATATAACTAAATAAATAATCTCTAGATAGTAAAGTCTAAAAAAAAATCAATTAAAAGCTTTAAGACCTTATAATTAAGGGCAAAAATTAAATAGTCTATTAGGAATTAAAAAGAAAAAAGAGAAATAATCTTAGTAATAAGATAAATTAGAGATTAAAGGCATTACCTTCGCTAGAGTAATTTAGCTAAAAGCTCTATAGCTAACATAGTAGCTATTAGGCCCATAGATCTAATCCACCTTCTCGATTATAGCTATCTATTTACTTTATAATTCCTTTATCTTAAACTCTAAATCTAATATTTATATCTATAATAATCCTAAATACTTTATTAAAGGAATATATAAACCTTATAATAACCCTAAAGGAGTTTTCTCTAGAGATATATACCTTAAGATCTATAGATATAATAATATAATTATTTAGATTAAAAATATATATAAGTTTAAACTCTAAAATATAGCCTATATCCTAAGATTTTTATATAAATATTATATCCCTAGATCTCTTTCTCTAGAGAGGATATAACTAAAACCTAGTAATAAGCGCTATCATAAAAGATAAAAAGATAATCTTTTATATAAAGAGGTAATATCGCTAGCCTATTATTAAATTTAACTAAGTTAATTATAAATTATATACCTTATTAATAACTACCTTTACTTTATCTATATAGCTAAGACTTAAGTTTACTATAAAAAGCTATATAATAGTACTAACGCCTAGGTTATCTTAAGTCTAAAGCCCTTAAGCGCCTAGTATAATAAATAATTAAAGCTAAAATTAAAAAGCCTACTTAAGATTAAATATAAAAACTATATTATTTTAAAGGTAAACTAAATTATCTTATAATAAAGCCTATAAATAAAGGCATTATAACTATTTTAGTATATCTATATTAATATCTTTGCCCTAAGTAATAAATATAATAAAATAAAATATACTATATTAATTAAAAATAAATATATATTTATAATTTATATCTATCTTTTAAAAAATATAATTATTAAAAGTATCCTTAGAGTATTAAAAAGCCTTTAAAGCCTATATTTAATAATAATTTAATATATTAATTTATATTATCTACCGAGACAATAATTAAGCACTTTAAGTAAAAATATATAACTTAAATTAAATCTAAAGGGATTAATAATAAATCTACTATACCTAATATACTAATATAAAAATAAGCCTATTAAACGTTCTAGGGGGGTAATAAATAGCTAGTCTCATATAATACAAGTTAATACTAACTTCTTAGACAAAATATAGCCCGAGACCTAAAAAACTATAATATATTTATATAATAAATCGCCGCAATAGGCCAACAACTAGAAAAACGCCATTTAAACGGCTATACCAATAGCTATAAGAAAACAATCATAATATTAAATATCTCTAGACATAGCCTAATATTATATATCTTAAGGCATATAAATATTACGCCTATCCGCTAACTAAGAAGGCCCTAAAGAGAAAAAAAAAAAGAACTTAAAAACCTACCCTTATATAAAGATTAAATACCTTATTAAATATAACTTTACTAATATCTTTAAGATCTAAATCCCTAAGAGATAAGAAGTTTATTAAGTCTAAGATATAACCTTTAATAAAAACTATTTCTATAATCTAAAGGGTTATTAGTTATAATCTCTTCTTATTACTAAACCACCTTAGATTTAGCTTCTTATTTATATAAAAAGCAACTTAGAACTTAATAAATATAAAGGAATTAAGCTAAAAAGCGCATATTAAGTCTAATATAGAGAATAAAAAGAGGTTAATTAAATTAACCTTAGTTAAATTAACCTCAGTTAGATCAACTATCTAAGTCAGAGGCAAACTTACTAATAATAATAATAACAATTAATACTTCTATAATACAGAAGAAAAACCCATATTTAAACCTGCCGGTCTATACCTAATACTAGATAAGAGTTAAAGAGGCTCCTAAGGTCTAAATAATTAAAAATAATTAATCTAATCTATTAGAGGACTACTTTAATAAGAAAAAGTAAGATATTAATAGTTAAAAAGCTATTAAGGGTCTTAAATAATAAAAACTAAAAATATTTGCTTATTAAGCTAAAAGCTAGTAAAAAAAAGAAAAAATTAGCTCATGAAATTAACTAGCCTATGCGTAAATCAGCACAAAAAGGAAGCTAAATAAGCGAGCTCGCGAAATAGTAACTAACTCTTATACAATATACTAAAATAGCTTTTTTATTAGTTATAAATAAAAGCTATATTAATAAAGTCTTCCTTTAAAACTAAGAAACTACTATAAGCTTATTAGTTATTAATTTAAACTAAAACTTAGATGAGCTATAAAAATTAAATAAATAAATATAAAGAAATATAAAAATAATCTAGCTAATCCTAAAAGACTAAGTAAATAGCTAAGTCTTATTATTTACCTAGGTATTTAAATATAAGTTTAATAAATATAAATACCTCTAAAAAGTTTAAAGTATAAATCTATATTTAAGGTAATCTATAATAACTAGGGTCTAAGGATACCTATATAGCCACCCTCGTAAGATATTTATTCTAAGTTTTTAATAATAATTACTACTAAATTTAACCTTAAGATAAGATAGCTTAATGCGGTTAATATATTTATAAATAGTCTACTTAATAAAAACATCTATATCTAATTTCTAGATAGTTACCGCCACTAAGAATAAGTCTTAAAACTACTATAAGCATTATATAAACTATAATAATTACCTCTATTATAGCAAAAAGACCTAATTATAGCCTTTAAGAAACTTAGCCTTAAATAAAGCTAAGAGGAGCTATGCCTTTTTATAAATAGCTAGCTTACTATTTTCTTCTTTATTAATAATATTATCCTACTATATCGCGCCAAATACTAAGACGCCGCAAATAAATTTATTATTAAACTAAAAAGCATAATATAAAATAAAGGACCTAAGGGAATTTAAGTAATTCCTAGGTATTTAAGTCCTACGAGATAGGGCAGCTCATAAGCTATAATCGGATTATCATGATTCGAACATAACTAGTCTTCGTCTCGGGTCACTATGAATCGAACATAGGAAGTCTCAGCCCCGAACTGAACGCTTTACCACTCAGCCATGCCCCGTTGCTTTTTTAAAGCAAG